CCGTGGCAATGGGGCCTGCGGCTGGGGTGCCACGGGCCCGCCTGAGCCGCTCCTTCCTCCGCAGACCTGCCGGGACGATGACTTTCCAGTGGACGGCAGTTGCCACCTTTCTGTACGGTGAAATAGGAGTAATTCTCGTGCTCTGCCTGCCGTTTATTTCTCCGCTGAGGTAGGACTTCAGTGTGCTGGACAACCCCAGCTCTGTCTTGTCACCGAATTCGGGTTTATTTTACATTTTTGTTTTTATAAACACTGAGTTTTGCTGCATCTTAAACTAACAGTGAACTAAGCTGAAGGAATGCTGTTCGGGACTTGAGCATCAGGAGTTTCAAGAATCATAAGCCTCTTTTAAGGAACCTTATGTTTGCTTTACACACACTGCTGATTCATCCGAGCAGCAGTTGGGGTTCCCAGGATGAGCCCCATTGCTTTGCTTCAGCAAGTGGGACGTCGTCTCCCAGTCTTCTCCCGGGGGCTTTTGGAGTAGCCAGCGTACGGGAGGGCATCTGGCTTCCCTTGCTATGAGCTCAGTAAGAAAGGAGAGGATGGTGCAGCCTTTTCGGGAGTTGTTTGTCAAGTTTGGGAGGAGCAGCTTTACAGCGTTTTGGTGTGCACTAGGCATTGTGGGTGCTGAACACGTAAGAGACATCTGATATTCAAAGCTAACCGCATACAGCGTGTGTAAGGGCTGTAAGAAATTTGTGATCATTTGTTTTAAAAAATGCAGACTTCAGCTTGATGCAAAAGGTTCAGGACTACTGAAATAAAGGCCTCTATAAACTTATATGTAGATTAGGAAAATAATAACACTTCTGGAACACAACACAAACATTAAGAAAAATAATTCATTCTTGTAAAATAAATGTCCTTAGTAAGGGAAAGAAACAAAATGTGTTAATTACTCTTATTGTATGCAAAGGCCTGGCTTACAACCTTATCTTAAGATTGTTTCCTGTAAGTAGCTCCTAAAATTTGGTAATGTTATTTTTATTTCTTACAAAGAAAGCTAGCTTCTCTACAAGAAGCAAGAGAAACAGAGTTATGATTTCTTTCCAGAATATCAGTAATTCTAAAAAAAAACCCAAAAACCACAAAACCTGAAAAAAACCAAGTAGGATAAAACCTTAAAGCTTTTAAAAAAAATTGCCACTGTCTCAGTGTGGTGTAAAAACTGTTACATGTTTGTTTTCTGCATCTTCAGATATATTTAGAATGAAGAATGCAGCTTTTATGGTAATATGCTAAGGAACAAAACCTAAAACAAAACCGTGGAGAGTCTGAATTTAACTACATAAACCTGTGGAAGAGTCTTCAAAACAGTTGGATCATCCACAGCCGATATCAATGATTAGTCATGTTTCCTCAACTTCAGAAGTTGAAACTGTTCTAAAATCTAATTCAACCTCTGATTTTTACAAGCTGGCTTGTGAGGAGTTCAGCATTTCAACATAGATTATTGAGTTCTTGTATTTTCTGTTGTTTTCCAATCAAAAGTGCAACTGTATGTAAGAAGGGAGAAGTATTATGGGAGTTGTAATCATCAGATTATTAATGGCTTATGTGAGGAAACTAGCTGCAAGAATTTCTTAAGGCTGATTACACATGCACATTACATTGGGAGTACTGAAATAGGTTTCACTTATGACATAAATAGGGCTTGAATCCAGTCTTTGTGGCTGAAAAGCAAATTCATAACCTGCAGTGTTACCAAAATTTATTCAAACATTAAACACAGGATAGATTTTTGCCCTTGGTTTGTAGCATTCAGCTATTCCTTTGAACAGTGGTTTCTGAAAGAGTGAAATAGCTTTATCCTTTATGTGACATGTTCAATTATCTTGTTAACAAAACTGTCACAGGAATCTTGTGGGGTTAAAGATTAGATTTAGCTGCTGTGACAGTACTGGAGGGCAGCAGTTCTGCCTTGCGCATCTTGGTGGCCTGGGAGCTGGTTCTGTCAAAGCGGTAAATCATGCACGATTAACGACAGACATGAAACTGCTGTTCTTTAAAGTTTTGATTTACTCGCTTGTCACTCTTAGATTGTTTGCCTCTTTTGTGCCTGCATGGTTTTTGGATAATGAATTCCTTTTCAAATTTGCTAACAAGCTTTTAAGTTCCTGGGAAATAAATAAATTGACAATATAAAAATATAAGTACGCAAAAAGAACTGTACTGTCAAGTGCGGTACATCTGTAGAGGTGGCCACTATTATAATTTGGAAGGATTATATTTATGTGACTTCTGTCACCAAAAGGAAATGCAGCATTAATAAATGTTGTCCTGGTTTCAGCAGGGATAGAGTTAATTTCCTTCCTAGTAGCTGGTACAGTGCTGTGTTTTGGATTTAGGATGAGAACAAAGTTGATAACGCACCGATATTTTAGTTGTTGCTAGGTAATGCTTACACTAGCCAAGGACTTTTCAGCTTCCCATGCTCTACCGACTGAGAAGGCTGGAGGTGCACAAGAAGCTGGGAGGGGGCACAGCCAGGACAGCTGACCCAAACTGGCCACAGGGATATTCCATACCATGTGACGTCATGCTCAGTACATAAACTGGGGAAAGCTGGCCGGGGGGGCCGCTGCTCGGGGACTGGCTGGGCATCGGTCGGCGGGTGGTGAGCAATTGCATTGTGCATCACTTGTTTTGTGTAGTATTATTGTTATTATTATTATTATTATTTTATTTCAATTATTAAACTGTTTTTATCTCAACGCACGAGTTTTTCTCACTTCTACTCTTCCAATTCTCTCCCCCATCCCACAGGGGCGGGGTGTGTGTGAGCGAGCTGCTGTGTGGTACTTAGTTGCCGACTGAGGTTAAACCACGACAAATGTGAATGTTGATACTTGTTGAGGAAAAATAAGTGTGAAAATATAACATAGGAAGACTTTGCAGTAAAGAGATATTATTTGTAGCCTGAATATAACTTGGCAGTATAGTTGGTCTAAGGTCATGCCTCAAAAGAATCACTTCTTAAGAGGAGATCAGTATGAAACTTGGAGAATTGCATGTTTAAAGAGTTAGCAAGTTGGCTTCGTTTGAGTTGTAGCTTGGTTTAATTAAAGTAAGCTTTTCGGTTGATACATACTATGACTGTCTGCTATAAAGAATTCAGATTATAGTAAAAGACTTAAATGAGTTTTTTGCACATACAGTGCTAAAATATTTTAATTCTTGCTGGTGCAGAACCAGAAGGAACCATTGGAGATGATGCTACAGTCTAATTTAGATTAGGTTCATAGTAGGTTGGAAACTGCTTTGTTAAAGGACAAATTTTAACAGTCTGGAGAATGTAGAGACTCTTAACAAAAGTTGGAAATTTTACCTGATATAATCAGACGGTGACTAGCATGCCTGTGTTACATCCCTAATGGCATACCTAGGTATTACTTCATTAGTGCAGTAGCACTGATTCTAACCTGCAGCAAAGGTTAGGAGCTCTGTAGCTGCTCTGTTGTTGTCTCTTGTGGGTTTCAGTTCATTTGAGCACATTAGATGTTCATTTGTGCTGCAAGTGTGAATTCTTGCAGAGCCCTCCATGCGGTAATATTGAATAGGCAATTGATTGTTTAAACAAACAAAAAATAATGGTCTTCACCACCATTGGGCCTCTGAAGTTGCTCCTTAGCCAAGAAATTTATGCTCTTGAAAGAGGTTTTAACACTTGACAAAATATATACATGAGACTTGTCCTTTTGTTGTCATTTGCAAGTTAGAATGTAATAACAATCCTTATACTTTATAATTATGCAGATTCATCAATGTAAAAGATAAGCCTTCTGAAGAAGGATGGTAGAGACAATCTTAATTTGTGGAGGTTTTTTTTTTTTATTTGGCAACAAGGAGTGTAACTGGGTAGAAATAAAAATGATGGAATGGGTTTTACAGTCTTTACCCCATCCCTGAGTTTATTGTAGACAGGACCCAACACAAAGTAATGCTAGCCAAAGTAAAAGCTAAAATAAACGTATCTGGAGAGTACCTGCTATTGTGCGAGAAGTTTTCAAGTTGAACCAACTGTCTGCCTGTATTGACAAGAAACAAAAAAAAGACAAGCAAGTTGTATTGTTGGAAAAGTTACGTATACCTAAATTATACTGCAGTTAAAGCAGCTGTTTAAAGCTGACCTTACATGTCTCGTATCAATAACAAGGCTCTCTTCTGTGGGGTTATGATGCTCTTCTTTTAGTGTTTAATTATTTTTTAATAACACAATGCTATTTTACAGATGGCAGAAGATTTTTATGATTCCTCTATGGAGCAAAATGGCAGTTTTTTGGAACAAGATGTTCCTTACAATAATAGTTTTACTGATCGTCTTGTTTCTTGGTGAGTGTTAAATAATTTCTTAACAAATGGGGAAAAAAAAAACGGTATATGGAGTTCACGGCACTAGATTAATTGAAAGGATTCAAGCCTAATGTAAATCAGCTAATTTGTTTAAAAGTTCCACAGTAGACTGGAAGAGGAGAGCGCTTATACTGCATTTGTGTTGGGAATCCAAATGCAATAGTAATGTAGTAGTGAATGAGGAGGGAAAATGGAGCTTGGTCTAGGCTGCTACTTGGTTTCACTTTCTCACACAAGTAAATGAACTTGAAATGTTTGATACCAGAATTTGGCTGAGCTGCTCAATATGCAGTAGATGGCACTCTTTCTCTTGGTTGCTGTTGAAATAGAAGACCAGAAAAATATGTCAAAGCAGTAGGCTATTCAAGTACTTTTGCTCAGCACAGATACAAAACAGCTGTTGGCTACATTTGTTATGAGTAGATCCTAAGGTCTATCAAGTAGGAGTAAAGCTTTAGTGAAACTGCACCTTGAATGACGACCATATGCCTGACTGATTTCATTTAATGTCTGTCTTGACTGTTTTGTGTGGTTTGTGTGGTAAGTATCTCCTGTATTTCATTGATGGAAATTGTTTTCCTGTGTTTCAGTGATAGTAGTTGTTCTCCTCCATGGATAGAAGTGTTTCAAGCACCTTACAATGAAAATGCTATTTAATTCCAAGCTACTTAAAATACAAAGAAAAAATACGTGGTTTTATTGTCTGCTGAGAGAAACATACAGATGCACTACATATATAACAAAGTCAGACTAGACCGCAATACTATATTCCTAATATTAAAAAAAGTACTGGAAATGCACATAAACTTTTTTTTCATTTCAGATGATCTTTTGTATTATCTTTAGAAGTAGATCCTTCAGTAAATGGCTTAAGATTGAGAACTGATGGATTTAATTTACTCTCCTTAAAAACCAATTGAAAACTTTGATCAAAATTTGCTTTTGAGTCGGTGATGATTATTGATTTTGTGGAAAGACAGATTTGGGCTAAAGTAAAGCAGTGGTGAGATGCTTGCCCCATAGCATAAGATGATAGGTTACTGCAGGACTAGAATCTTCCCATGGCACAGGAATATGGACTTTTGTTTGGTCTTAGTCTTTGTTGCATTGTTTGACATTTTACTTCAAATCTTTTCTTTTTTTCCCCTCTCTAAATAACTTAAGAACATAAGAGACAGTCATAAGTGATATTTACTCTCACGTGCTTTTCTGAGGAGTTGATTTTGTCTGCTTAGAGAAATGCAGCAGCAATTTAATAACACACGTCCGAAATATTCTGCAAGAACTGATGATGTGTCATGAAATGTGTATTTTTGTTGATGTGCGAGGAGGAGATTTTAGGTGCTCTATGGCCTTAGGTATGTATGATGACCTTAAGTTTACAGATTGTAATACGAACTCTTAACTGGGCTTAGCTTTTGTTTTTATGTAGGCATAAGTCCTAATTAATTATTTTGTCCTTTGAAAAGTGTTGGCAGTGTATTGGTCCTTCTGCAGAACTATCAGGAGTATATGATGGATGAAAGGAAGCTGAAAGATGGATGAAAGGCAGATGAAAGAAAGCTGAGGTGTAGCTTACCCCCTCTGTTTTGTTTATGTTCAACACTGTTACTACAGTATTCCTGTTTTGATGGATGTTATAGAAATAATTTTTTCCCTCTCTGATTCAAGTATAAAGTAGATGCTTCATTACTAAAATACATGCTTATCTTAACAAATTCCATATGAGGCAAATACTTCAGAAGGCATCTCTTCTTTTTGCCTTCTCTTTCTCTTTTCTCACTGTTTGTCCACTGGCTGGATTTTAATTCGGTTGTCAGCAGTGACATTTTGACGCTGTCTGTAGGGACTCTGGTAGCATTTGTAGAATGTGTTGCTTTGGCCTGATCCCTGGTGGCTGGGTGCAAGTGTTTGAAATGACTGTTCAAGCATGTTTTGGGCAATGATTTGGCATATCTCTGAAAATATGTTATATCGCTTCAGTGATTTATCAAGACCTATCTTTAAAATGTATGGATAACATAAGTGATGTCACTATTTCTCCTGTGCCTGTTTGCTGAACAGAAAGTCCAAATACGTATTTCTGGTACTATGTCTGGCTTATCATACGTGCATACCCAGAGATGTGAATAAGAACAAACTGTTTTTGTTTGCAGATGCTGTTAGAGAAGTTAAGAAGTACTCAGCTGTTCATGTGAATGAGAAGGCTGCAAATGTCAATGCCAATGCATTTGATCATATTCAGATGAAACTCTTCCGATCGCAAAGAAACCTCTATCTCTCAGGTTTTTCCTTATTTCTTTGGCTGTAAGTATAACATTTTTCTAATTTCGACATAGCATGTTTCTTACAGGAACTATCACACAAAGTAATGCAACTATAAAAAAGATCAGAAGTCCGATTTCAAGAGATTAAAGAATTGTGAGCAGACTGGCTATGAGGCAAGTAAGATCAGTAAGATCTTACAAATGTTTGAAGATTGGAAGGATATGTGAGCAACACATAAAAAGAAACATTTTGAGTGTTTGAGGAAACGTATTTTGCAGGAGAAGTTTCTTCAGGGAATACTCATTTCCTTCCTTAAACTTATGTCCTATGTTTTGCTTGTTTTGAACACTGAAAACTGAAATAAAAAAAAACTCAAAAACTAAAGTACTGTTAAAATAATATGTTGCAAGAAGGTATTACTGCATCCTGCTGTGTTAAGAAGCAAAGCTTGAGTCTGACTTGAACCACTTCATCTAGAGCTCAAAGTTAGGAACTCTAGGATAAGGAGAGTTTCAGATACTATTTCAGATCAAGCACTTTGTGGCAACTACTGTGATATTATGATCTTAAGTGCAGTATCCCTTTCAGGATGTTTAAATGCAGCTAATAAAACAGGGTAATGGAAAGGACAGTTCTGTACTGCCCAGCAGTAGCAGTCAAGACTACCTATGAATCTTCACAGTAGCCATAACAACCTGCAGATCTTAGCTAGGCAAGGAGCACATGAACTAATTGGACACAGATAATGTGAATGAATGGAAACAGACATGTTGGTCAGTCGATTTCCTATTTGTACATTTTTATGGTGACGCTGGGAAAAGAATGCTGGCCCTCTTTTGAATTCCTTCAGTGAGCTGCTTGACATTGCCTAGATACACAAGAGGAACACAGAACAAGGAGATGCCTGGAATCAGAATTCTGACAAACTTCTTCCCCTTGGAGTGATGTATGGCCATTTTAGCTGATCATTGAGGAGCATTGTACATAAAGAAGTGTCAACGAAAAATTTGTACAAAACTTGAGCAGGAAAACTTTGGAAAAAACAAAGGTGGCCGTAGCCTTGCACAACAGTGATAGGTATGCATCATGCTCTTTGTCTTCCTTCAGAAAGGTTAAGTAAATATGCACGAATATGTTTGTGATCTCTGCTCCAAGAGAGGAATAGCTGGATTGTGTCCTACACTAGAGTTGGAAGCTGGTCCCACAGGATCCTATTCCCACTTGGCTTTCAAGGAAGAAAACTTGTCAGGTGGCCCTAATAGATTTTATTGTGGATAAAAGTTCTGCTCTTGGAAGAGGTTTGCTTGAGGCCTTTTTTTGGGCTACTGGCCTTTCACCAAGATTTAGAAGAAATAAATGCTCCTGCAGTAGTGGCTAGATCAAAGGACACTTCTTAGTAGAGCTATTCTGCTTATCCATTAAACAGGCATAATGTCTGTCAGAGAAGGGGAAAAAGTGTTCCTTGGGTTGCCTTATCCTACATTGCTACTACCATCACTCAACCAAGTTAAGACCACATGTAGGTGTGAATGGGTACTTTGATGTCCCTGGTTCATTCTTTGGGTCAGTTTTGATTCATTTTAGCACATCAGCCAATAGGAGAATTCCAGAAGAATGGTAGATGGAGATTGCCAAGATGGAGGAGGCTGGAAGCTTGTCACTTCCAGCAACACAACAAAAGCTCTTCTCCATCTATGATTCATCAATTGCAGAACACTGGGTACAGGTGAGGAAAATAACCTCCGGTCAGTGGAGGTACTGGGGCCAGCTGAGCCTTCATCTACCAACTTTCTGCACGGAAAAGAGGATGGTCATAGTTACCAAAGACTGTCCCCTAGGCGGGACAGAGGCACCCATCTGCTAATCTGACTTGGTGTCTTGGGAGATGTGGAGAGGCTGCCAAGGCTTGTCTGGCGTCCTGTTACCCTGTGCTGAACCACAGAGGGATGAGAAGGGCTGAAAACAAAATGAAAGCTAAAGAAAACATGGGCCCACTGCTCAGTGGGTCAGGGGACCAAATGACAAAGGATATGGAAAAGAGTGAGACCTTGAGTGTCTCGTTACCAACCTTACATTACATTGTTTCTTACTGGTAAGGTCTGCTGTTTGGCCTCCCAATTCTCTGGGCCTTCTAGGAGAGTCGGCGGGAATGTAACATTACCCACAGTAGCAGAAGATGCAGCTAGGGAGTACTTAAGCAGAGTGGACATGTGCAAGTCCGTGACATCCTAGGATGTGATGTATCACTAGCCCTTGTTCTCGTGGGGGAACTTCCTGGACATCTGCTGGAAATACAACACGGCAGAGAGGAAGTAGTCTAGGAGGTTCCTGGAGTGTGTGGAAGACAACTTCCTGACACAGCTGGTAAGGGAGCCTACCAGGGGAGGTGCATCACTCGACCTGCTGTTTACAAACAGAGAAGGACTGGTGGGAGATGTGGTGGTCGGAGGCCGTCTTGGGCTTAGCGACCATGAAATGATAGAATTCTCCATTCTTGATGGAGTAAGGAGGGGGGCCAGCAAAACCGCAACCATGGACTTCCGGAGGGCGGACTTTGGCCTGTTCAGGATGTTGGTTGAGAGAGTCCCGTGGGAGACGGTCCTGAAGGGCAAAGGGGTCCAGGAAGGCTGGACGATCTTCAAGAAGGAAGTCTTAAAGGCGCAGGAGCAGGCTGTCCCTGTACGCCGTAAGAAGAACGGGCGGGGAAGACGACCGGCCTGGCTGAACGGGGAGCTCTTGCTGGGACTCAGGAAAAAAAGGAGAGTTTACCGCTTGTGGAAGAAGGGGCAGGCGACTCAAGAAGAGTACAGGGATCTC